TTGGTATATTTTATGAAGCAGATTACTACTAGTGGATAAATCGGAAAGAAGGAAGCTAGATCCATTGGCTCAGCTCTTTCCCTACCAACAATCCCTTCCTTTCATTGCAGTATCATTTTTTTTCTTACAGTCAAATAGTTTCTTCCAAGAAAAGGCACTAGAAATGGGTGGCCCTCGACTTTCTCAGAATGCATGTTCCATGGGAGAATTCCTAAATCAGCGTCTTGCTAAATCAATTCACAACCAAAGCTGCAGCCGGTTTTTGTCCTTTTCTTTCCTGTTGGGCTTTCACTGTGGTTCCTGTTATAGAAGCTATAGTTTGTGTTCGCTAATGGAAAGCCCAATAAAATTTGTCCACTGAATTGTGTTAAAATGACGGGAGCAAAACCTTGATGTTTCTGGTTCAAGCATGCGGCACCTGTGACCTGCATGAGTTGCTTCTTATCAATCAAGTATCAACATTCACTTCTGATATTCTATCTTTTGATTGTATTCGCACGTTCTCATAACTAATAACATTATCTCCAAGGAAAGACGCTATTTTCACATAGAGAAAAACCATTTGTATTTTAATATATTTGATGTTCAAATAATGTCATCATTTCTTAGCATTGACTGAACTACTCATATGTAATTAATGGCAGAGCAGTATTGTACATCCAGTGCCTGTATTTTTTCTACATAAATTTGACTAATTGTCTTTGGTTCTCTAGATATGACATACGGTGGATGCAGTCGAGGAGGACAGAAATACAGGTTTTATCGATAAAGCTACTTAATTGTTATGATATTATGCTTTCATTATCTTCTCATACCAAGACAATATGGCCATGTGAACAGCACTGTTATGGCCATAGTTTCAGAGGCACGATGTATTATTAAGCTTGGCAGCAGGGTGCGCATAGTGAAGATAGCGATCTAGGCTGGGAAGCCAGCTGAAGTTGCAAGGGACATTGGAGCTTTGCTCGAAAGCTGCCATGACGTAGCAATTAGTTTTGTCAGGAGGGAAGCTGATGATTGTTGTGGATCTTCTGGCTTCAAAATCTTATGGATTGCAAATGGATCAGAGTAATCCGTTACCTTTTCTTCCCTCTGTTTCATCCTCTTATTTCCATTAAAGCGCTACTCTGTTAGCAAATAAAATCACAAAAAATATGAAAAAAAATCAATCAAATAAATAAGAGCGAGATTCGAGCCCAAATCAAATTGATGAAACAGAGGAAAGAAAAGGTAACGGATGACTCTGATCCATTTGCAATTCATACAAATCCATAAAATCTTGAAGCCATAAGATTCGTGCCCAAATCAAATAAATTGATGCAAACCCAAAGAATCCAATCAATTAAATCAACGCCTAGGATAAGAACTGACTGGTTGTTGATTGCTGACTTTAACCCCGGCTATACGGTGATGTCGCTGTGATGGTGCTCAATTTTTTAGTTTGAACTGCACAACGATGTATAGCATTATGGCCTCAAAATATAGAGCCATTTCTTCTATTTTTTGTTTCTTTTTGCCCTCTCTTCACGTATCCTCAACTCCATAATCTCATCAATATCAGAAGCACGCAAATCTCGCCTATCGACTTTCTTCTCCTCTGAGCCTTTACTTTTCTGCTTCTTAGCTGACCATGATCATGCGGTTGCTTTGGTGGGAGGACCTTCACATGACCCGACGCCCCTAATCCCATCCCTTTACGATAGCCCATATTTGCCACCATCTTTTAAGCTCTGCCCCGTGTATGATTTTCCATTCCCTCCTGTGCAAACAACTTTGCTCGTCTGGAGTGGTTAGATGGGTAGCTTGTAGTCAGTAGTTCTGTAGCTTTTAGCGGGACCCTATACAGATGGTTCCTGCGTTCCTGCTGATCAGTTTATAAACAATATAAATTAATATGATAATAATATTTGAAAGTTAGATTTATGAACATCATACCATATTTATATAAAATTTATTTAGAAATAATTATAAAAAATGCATGAGTTTATATAATATATAAAATTTATTGAATAATAATTAAAAAATGCAAGGCTGTTCTTATTAAAAATTCTATAATAAAACAATTTTTTTAAAAAACTTAATCTACATAAAATTCTTATATACCTCTCTAGAAACTAAACAAATTCAATATCATTTATAAATAAGCACAATTTAATTAAAATATAAATCAAAAATTTATTTAAAAAATACATATAAATAATGCATTATTTTTAAAAAAAACTAAAAAATAATTAAAAAAACATATAAAGTAACAAAGTCAGGCATTTATGGGTCTGTTATATCAGACACTTGGATCCGACAAACATGACTAATCTATACTAGTTTAGGTATGGAAAGCATACCAAACCCATCTTGGTTGGATCTAACTAGCATAACAAACCTAAGTTTGTTAAACCTTGCAACCTATAATATTTTAAAATAGCATGTTAAAAAAAAAGCAGGACTGTCTAATTAATTTTAAATGCAAAATTCATTCATGTTCTCTTGAATTTAGTAAAATTCAAAAAAATAATTAAAATAAACAATCCAATAAAAAAGTATTTATACCAGCATAGAATGAAAAGAAACAATAAAGAAACCATCATTATCTCATGCAAAATAAATAAAAATCCTATCCAACTACACTAGACTAACATTCTCTCAAGAACAATCATGTAACTGGATACATTACCAGTAAAGCTTATATTTGACTACAAGCCCCTCCATATAAAACAAATCATGAGAATGACAGTCATGATTGTCAAATTTGCTAGTTAACTTGTAAAATCATATAATTTTATGAGTTAATATAGATATATCATGTGAAATTAAATAAAAAAAAACTAAAAAACCATCAAACTCAGTTAAAATTGATAATTTGGTAAGCTCAAGTTTAACAAAATTAACAAAAATTATTGACATTTCTGATTCTTTCGCCTTCGCCTTTTCTAAAAACAGCCCTTCCAAATTAATTAAGTTATTTTATGATTTACTTGAAAAATAAAAAAATATATAATTAAATTATGACTTTACCTTTCTGTCCAATGCTATAGAATTTAGGAAATATAGATAACTTGCATGCTTTTGTTTTCCATGAGGTAGAAAAAAAAGTTAAATCAAAGTGATTTTTATTAAAAAAAAAGTGGGGGTGGTGGGAGGTGGAGAAGGGAGGAGAATTGAAGCTGAAGCAATTGCTAAAGAGTGCTGTTTTTGTGAGATATGAGGGTTCAGTGGGAATGACAACCAAGCAATGAGCAAAAACCATGGAAATTGAGTTGTTAGTCATGATAAAGAGAGTACAAGAGATGAGCTTGAAAATTTAAGAAGAGAAGGAAAACGAAGACCGATGATGATGATGATTTGAGAAAGAGAGCAAGAGAGATTGTGATTGCATGGATAGCACGTGCGAAACAGTCATTTATCATGTCACTTTTTCTTTCTTTTTTTTTTAAAGAATTTAAAATTATTTAAAAAATAAAAAATCAATTTTTTTTCAAATACAAAAATAAATAAACTTGTCAAACTCATGTCAAGTTAATTTTTTTATAACATTAAAAAAAAATATATGTAACATCAATAATTTCAAATATGTAAAAAAATCTAAAACTAAGGTAATTGGAATGTACCATTTATATTGTTAGAAAAACAATCAAAATAGCAAATTAAAAAACAACATAAAATAAATATTTTGTATTTATATTTAATATAATTAAAAAAATACTTATAAAAAACTAAGTTCAACAAAAATAAAAAAATAAATATAACACCACATGGATGAATTTTTAGGATCAAATAATATTAGTATTGGTATTAATAATAGTACTAATATTTAAAATATTAGTGTTGATATTAGCAATGACAATAATAATTTTCTTGATGGATGAATTATAAGGAACAATGAAAGCAATAACATAAGTTTTAATCTACATGACCCACCAAAATATTGTTTGTTTTAAGTTTGTTAATTGTTAATTAATAAAAAATTTATTTAAATTATATATAAATTTTTATTTGAACCATATATTTTTATGTATCCGAATAATCTATTTTTTTTATGATTTTACAATTCAAGTTTATTTTTTATTTTTCATCTCATATTAAAAATATATTTTCAACCATCTTGATAATATCAAATACCCACTAACAATAAATAACTCAACAACTTACAGCACATAACCTGTACCTCCGAAAAATAAAAAGCAAAATACAAACAATTCATAACTTGCTATGATTTCTCCTCCACAAACACCACCCCAACTCACAACAAAAACACTCATACTCTAATGTACATGATCGAGCTTTTTTAGTTTTTTCTTCTTCTGTAATTGTAATGTAATGATCTGAAATATTGGAGAAATCCCATAAAAGATTATCAATCATAGGACAATTGCCTGAATTTATGTGTATTTTTAATCCCTTTCCTCATGTTCCCACGGTTGTGCTGGTACAACAAGCTGTAAAGTTTATAATGACAAAGAATATAGGTATGCTTCTGGGTTATTAGGTCGGTGTTCTCTTGCAAATGAATGAGATGGGCGTTTGAATTCTATTGATGGGAAAAGGATGAGTGTAATATTTAATATAAAAGCATTTTTGTTATTAAATGAAATATATAAGTAATCTTGTAATAATTATATATTAAGATATTAAGTGTTAACACATTAATTTTTCAAAATTCAATAGAATAAAATATAAATGCCGGGTAATTTTTCTATTTTAAAAACAGGTTCGATGGTTATGACGTCTGTCTAACACATTGAAGGTTCAAACGACAAGTCAATTCTACAACTTCCACCGACACATCATTCAGCGTTGAAACCGCCAGAAACATCTCCTGACCCCATGCCACCCCCCATCCCCGCGCCAATTCCCAAACTCTCTCTCTCTCACCATCAAATCACAACCAATCATCATTCACCTCCACATCATTTCCTCTGTTCGCATTGGTCCATTTCTTCCACGTCACCATTCCATAAATCTTCGGACACTAATCTAGAACCTTCATCCTTTATAAGCCCCACAATAATAATAAAGAAATTCACAACCAAATCAATTTTCGCTCCAGAAGCATCAACTTACCAATTCTATTGATCTCCGCTCTGCTCTTAACCTCCACCGGTTCCGATATCAATGGCAATCCAATCATCATGCCGCTACCTAACCCTAATTTCCCTCGTATTCACAACTCTGTCCTTTACCGCAGCTCTGTTCTCCGCACCGGACATCAATTCCCCTCCCCATCCAAAAGCAATCTCCGTAAGTAGTTAACTTCACAAACTGCAAAATTCTTTAACTGCACCTTCCCATGTCTTTATTCTAATGACAATTTTTTATTTTTGCTGCTGTAGGATTTGAAGGAAGCGATTGTGAAGGGCTTAGGGTTTCAAGCGGATGATTTCAAGATATCTGGTTTTGATTTGAGAGACGCACTCGTGGGCCATTCGGTGGCTTATGAATTTGATGTGGAAGTTGATAATAAGGTGTTTCCGTTCAAGTTATTGGAGGATGTGAACCGGTGGGAGTTTGTTGATTTACCTATTTTTAGAGTTGAAGACCCGATTAGACCCGGTGATGAAAACGGGTTGGTGGAGCAGAAAAAGGATGTCAATGGATCACCTGTTTTAGCTCCGTTTCAGCTTGCTGGACCCATGGAGATATGGATTCAGGATGCCAAAGATATGCGCCTTTCATTGCCGGTATGTGATTTAATCGATTTCGATTTTATTCTAGTTCATTCGGGCTATTTTCGACAGATAGAATTTGTTAGTTTTTATTTATTTATTTTTAAAGGAGTTTATGAAGGGCCTGTTTTAGTTTAGGCATGTTTTTGTTACAATGATTTTGGGTCTTTCTATTTGCCCGATATTTTTACCCCGAGTTTTCCATAAGAAATTGTTTTGAATTTCAGTAGAGAAGCTGAAAAAAATAATTGCCTTTGTCTGCAGCACGATGTTGATGCTGGTGTTTTGAAAAAAGTAATTTTAGCTGATGGCGCTGTGGTTACGGTGAAGGGTGCGAGATCAGTTAGTCTGCGTCACCCTGTTGATCTTCCATTGCCTCTAAATCGAACTCAATCTGGTTTTGCTTCTGGTCTTCTTGCCTTAGCTGAACAGCTACGTCGTGCTACTCGCTCTGAAGAAGCTCCCCCCCTCTCCCTGCGCATTGTTGGGCCCACGTCACTCACGTCTCCTTCCTCATCATCACAATCTTCCAATAACAGGCTCAAGCTGAAGCGCCTTGCTCCTGGACTTGTGGAACTATCCTCGCCTGCAAAATCCCAACCTGTTGATTCCCTCCCCGCTGTTGATTTGGAACGTGCTACAACTGTCCTGACTCCCAAACATTTCACTACAATGTGGCCATTTGTTTCTGTGAACGGCTCGAACTCAAATTTGGTTGGTTTCGAGAAATTGCTTGCCTCAGTTTTGGGGTCCAAGGCTAATAAGAAAGGTTCCTTAAAGTTGTTGAAGGCAGATGTGTCAGCTCAGACATTTGTTAAGATAGGTTTTGGTGTTGAGAAGTTGTTGAAAGAAGGAGATGGGCTTGATTTGGAGGCTGTTCCTTGGTGGAGGACGAAGCCTGAGAGTGTGAGGATGCATTTTGAGGTATTGGCTAAGGTCGATGGCCAGAAGGTTGTTCCAGAGAGAGTGGTGCAGGTTAATCCTGTGATTATAGAGGACACCGTGGCTCCTCATCTGCTTACAGGAAATGTGAGCATGTCCAGAACTCCTGTTGTTCACCCTCCTTCCAATCCTTTCACCACTTAAACCATTGGCCGGGGACTTAATTTTGGCAAATTTGCTGGAGAAACTGTAAATTTCCCCCCCTTTCCAGTTATACACAATGAGATAGTAGGGAGATGTAAACGAAGATCTGAAGAGGTCCTTATTGTTTGTTCTACGAGTGATAATATGAGAGCCTTCATCTTGTGGTGTTACTTGTTAATCATGTGTTGTTATCAACCTTTTCCCGGTAGTGTAAGCCACACCCCTGGAACTCTTTCGGGAGCTGTGGTCTTGCACGTTACACATAATTTTTATTCATGATTATTTCCAAATTCCATTAGCTCCCTGGAAATATCGGTTGTAAAATTAATTGAAAGTGCTGGTGATATAACAGCTCAACAGAGAACAGGCTGATCAAGATTTAGCCTGCAAAATCCATTGCAACGGGGGCATTATCAAGATGGCGTCCACTAAAATAGACATTATTCCACATCTATGGAATGCAGATGAAGGTTCCACGTGGGGAAACAAGGCTACTTGTTTGTAACTCGTAAGCCAGCGATAGAAGGGTGTCGTCCTCTGGAGTCTGGGAATTTCATTGATCAATTGACTTCGTCCTTGGGTGGGGAGAATGACGTGTTTCTACAGGTAAAGATCGATTTAGGATTTCAAAAATACTGAAAATTATACTTGATACTCCGATGATATTACATCAGTTCAAGCCATAAAAGATGATCGAGAATTACAATCTCTTGGTGAGTTTCAAATTGGCAAATATCAAACTGGTCTGGATACAAGAAACTACTCGATAACTTTACATAATTTGCTTCACTTCGATTGAAACTACTTCCTGATGAAGGAAATCCCCTTTTGAATGCTTTCCGCCAGCTCCTTTTTCGCCTTTTGCAATCCCACCCTGTTAAATATAATTACAAGATCAATTTTTTTTGTTTATTTCTTTCTACCAACAAAGGAAAGTCAGTCGAGTAATTAAATGTTTCTTCATACCTCTCATATTCGTTTAGGGGGCCAAGTTGATAGACTTCCTCAGCTCCTCTACGGCCAAGCCGTACCTTGGTCGCGAAGAATGGAAGTTCTGTCACCTATTATAATCAATGTGCTTGTTATTAAAAGGTTAAAATAGAAAGTTTAAGGCTCTGACATAAGGAAGGATTTCAAAAGAATACCTCAGAAGCTACAAATGCACATTCCACAACACCAGCATCTCCCCTCAAGCCACGGAGGCAGGCATCTGCAAATTTCACAGCTGCATATGCCTGCACAATTATGTAACCTTGTCTTCATTTTGGTCATTCATTTTTGCAATCAAAGTTGGAGAATGAACAAAAAGAAGGAATAGATTGGCTAACCATTGACAATGTTGCAGAGCCAGCCCCAGCTTTTGCCTGCCAATAAAAAAAAACATTGTTTAATGTAGTTTAACCGATCTACTAAATCCAAATGGAAAGGAAGCGGCAACTAGTAGAAGCAAGTTTGAGGAGCTCATATGCTGGGAACCATCAACTTAAGAACAATTGCACTAAGAATTCATGTAGTAGCAGCGTGGCACTTTCCATCGAAGCTCAATCAGGATTTAGCAAACATCATAACAAAAACACTTGGTGCTATACAAGCAACCAAAACTCTACAATAACAGGTGAAAATGAATTTCTGAACTACAATTACAGCAAAAACAATTCAAATAGTGTGGAACCGTGAGATTGAGCTCCATCTAAGAAAGTACTGTAAAATGTTTAAGGGTTAACAGAAGAACTAAATGGTAAAGTTTGGAAGCTTCGGACTTTATGATCAACAAAGATGCCGCAGATGAAATTCGTAAAACTTTTCTTCAATAAAAATATCGATTTTTGCCAGTCTAATCGAAGATACCTCCATCCTTATCCATGTCCACTTGGAATTTTATGTTCGATTTACAATAACAAGCTGTTATAGCGCATGCTAATCAATATCAGACCACTGAAAAATTACCAGAGAGGTGGTAACATATTGTATGTTAAACACTGGTTGGTTCTCTCTCTCTCTGCCCAAGCAGATGACACTCAACAGAACACTTGGAACTTGGAAGGGTCTAATTACATCCAGTGTTGAAACCCAACGTGCTCCAAAAAAATAAAAATAAAAATATTACCTGAACAACCTCTGTTCCACCATCTTGAATTCGTTTTGTCAGGTATTCAGTTTCTTCAGGGGTGAAAGAGGAAGGGGGCTTAGCCTGCAAATAGTGCATCAAGTCATTGCATTAAAAGCATTCACTTCATAACGTGCCAGATTTTTAACATTAAAATTTTCTCAAAAGAATCTACACTACCTGCGATAGAAGGGGCAAAATTGTAACTCCAGCATGGCCTCCAACGACTGGAACATCAACTTCCCTAGGATCAAGTCCCAGAACTTCTGCCTGCAAAGAAATCAGGGAACGGAATGTAGAAAGCTCATAAAAGTAAAAAAAAAAAACAAACAAACATAAAAGGTTCATTTGGTGTTTCAGTAAGAAATATTCTAATTGGTCTGGCAGATTTTAGCTACCTTAAATGTCAGTGCGTAAGCAATTTACAAGGGCAGAAAATTATTAGCTAGTCCATTTCGCTGATGACATACCACGAAAGTGTTTGCTCTCACAACATCAAGCATTGTAACTCCTAGAAGTCGCTTTGGATCATAAGTTCCAGCTTTCTTAAAAACCTCTGCTGCAATTGGAACTGTAGAATTAACTGGATTGCTGATCAAGTTGACAATCGCATTGGGGCAGCACTTTGCTACTCCCTCGCAGAGAGTTCTGACGATCCCAGCATTGATGTTGAAAAGATCATCTCTAGTCATTCCAGGCTTCCTTGGCACACCAGCAGGTATGATCACAAGGTCCATCCCTGTAAGAGCACTCTCAAGCTGTGGCTGCCCTAGGAAACCCCGAACCTAGAAAACCAAATAGTATAACATAGCTATCAAATGCTTTCAAGACTACATGACAAGGTTTGAAATCATGAATAAAACTTCTGTTACTTGGATGAATGATTCTTACCCTTTGGATTACATTAGAAACAGTTAAAAAATGCCAGTTATAAAAACATAAAACAAGTCATAATTTGCTCCTAACCAAGAACATTACAATTCCAAGATAAAAGGATTACATTCCATTACAGTCAGACATGACCACATATATTTAAGATATTAAAAAGAAAAACATAGCCAATGATGGACTAATAAATTACCACAGCACCGGTATCCATGTGACTAATATCAGCAGTGACCCCGGGAGCATTCACAACATCATAGAGGTGAAGAACTGAGACCAAAGGATTCATCTTCATTAGCATTGCAAGAGGTTGCCCAATCCCTCCAGCAGCACCCAAGACAGCCACTTTGAACCCAGGCGCTCCTCCTTTTGCTCTGCAATCGGTTCTCTTCAAAACACAGCTTTCCTCCATCTATTGAAACATTACACACAGATCTTTTTCAAGAAAAAGTCCCAACTTACTTGAAAATCACGTAGCAGGGTATGCACATATATCAACGGCAAAACAAGTCAAAAGATAAAGCAAAACGAAGACCTGTGAATTTGGAGGTTGGAGATGAGCTGATAACCTTGCAATCCTTTGGTTAGCCACCGACTCCATAGCTAGGTGCTTTGCAAAACTGGCAGGTGAGAAAATTGTTTTGGTATCGCTGTACTTGCACGCCTATATGAAGCAAAGAAGGGGTGGAGTGGATTTATTACTCAAGAAAATATTTTTTGGAGATAAATGGCAAATATAATTTTTGTGGAAACAAGTTTTCGAGCCCTTATCTCATCTGAATCTCTCAAAATGTACGTGGCTATAATATTCTTCGCAAATTATGTTTCTTTTTCCCCCTCAAACATTTGTTTGGTTTCTCCTCAATTTTGATAGAGCAATAATGATCTCATGGCATTCCAAGAGCTCGCATTTAGTTAATATTATATATTAAAAATAAAATGTATTAAAAAAGTTAAAGATTCAATTTAATATAATCAATCAATAATATAATATTTTTAATTTTTTTTTATAATTTTAGAAAGTATTTTTTATTTAAAATAAAAAAAATAAAAAAATAAGGTTAAATTTTTTTTGATTGTTAAATATTTTTTTTGATTAAATTTTTTAATGATAAATAAATACATAAAAATTTAAAAACTATTTATAGATGCTATATCTTAACATTACTCTCAACAACTACAAAACTATACAATATGTAGACAATCTAAGGTAATAAATACACTAATTCTATCTTACCCTAGTAGAATCCACACCAAACAAGAAAAATCATGATATAATTCAATTTTTTTAATAATTTTAAGTGATTTTATCATTTAGTTAATTTATATCAAAAATTAAATTATAGGTTTTGATTAAATAACCAAGTTATCTTGATTTTTTTTTAACAAAACAAAATAACATTATTTTCATTAAAAAATAGTTAATGGAGTACAACCTAAAGCAGACCAATTAAGTTACTCTAGATCCCTTTAGGTTCTCTCCTTTTCACTTTTTGTTTTTTTTTTTAATTTGGTCCAGTTCCGACCTAGGTTAATTTATGGGGCCGGGCCGGGCCGAGTTTTGAGAACTGAGGTAATGATTCCATTAATTTGTTTTTACTCGCCAAGAGAAATCGTTTCCAAACTGCCTGGATTAAAAGCCCAGTTATAAACCCTCCAACCCAAGCCCTATCTCACTCTACTCCGTTAATTGGGCTATTCTAGCCCAAACAGTCAAGGCAAGGAGCCTGACAAACAAGGCCCGACACAGTTCGGTGGTACTGTCCTTTCATTTCTAGGTCGGTCCCACTACCCTAGCAAGGTTGGCAGGCCCAGGCCCAGACGATAGGGTTCGGTTTGACGGTTTGACTACGGGCACATTGCTTTTCTCAAGTTCATTGAATCATCTGAATGGTCCAAAATATCAAATCCAAAGTTAGGCCTCAGTCTTTGACCGCAAGGCACTCCCTCGCCTCTCTCTCGCATTGATTTCTCGTGGTCACCATGCAACTTGTTAGTAGTTTATTAGACCGCAGGCAGGCTGGCCTTCTCCAGAATTTCTCTATCAGATAGACTTCAGATTTCCGGTCACGGAAAGGCAGAGCGGAAGGAAATCACCCCTCCATGATCTGTAATGCTGTTGAGGAACAAATACACCCTGCATACAATAACTTTATTTATTAAATATCACTGATCAGGCAATTATTTGTCAATGAGTGCTTTTACTTTC